GTAACCAAAGTATGTCAAGACAACCCTGCCCATGGCAATTGGCATGTGGCCAGAAAACAAATTAAACTCATTGGTTGATGCAAGCTCCTTGGCAACAGGTGTGGTGTTGGAAAGATATGGTACTATTCTGGAAGATACATGCAGGCTTCACCCATCGAACGATGCGCAACATATTAATTTGGCTGAACTTGACACCATGCTGAAGGGCATTAATCTCACACTACAGTGGCAAGCCAAGGTGGTGCATCTCTACTGTTTACCACTGGCTGACCGACACTTTGACAGGCAATGCACAAGTCAGAACCAAAGCAAAAAATGAGATGTTGGTGTAGAGGAGATTGTCAATTGTAAAACCACTAGTTGACGAATACAGCTTAGTGCCAAAGAAGTGGCTTGATATGATGAGACAAGAATCCAACTCCTTGCTACTGATATGAGCTGTCAGGATAAACCAATTAACACCGGAGCAGAGTCATGCCATACACTGACAAAGTAGACATCCTGGTGTTCGTTGCACCAACCTATTTTGTCTGTAAACCAACAATGCTCCAACCTTTCGTGGCCAAGAATTTCAGACATTTGCAGATGAATGGGGAGTAAGAATGTGATACCAGTGTGCCTACGTCCCAGAGGATAATAGTATAGCTGAGTGGTACCATTGCACTCTCAAAAGAATTGTTGTCAGAATGCAGCACTCTATGCAAGAGGCCGCATATTGGCACAACATGACTACCAAGGATGATGCAACACTGTCAACTACACCAGCAAATGGAATCTACCAGTACAAGCAGTAGGTAAAAGGGATAGATGCAGCACCATTGCCTACTGACAGTGAGAGACCATGTCTGGGTTAAAACTCTGAACAGCCGATGCACTAGTAGATTCGGCAAGGGACGAAATCAATAAAATAGTCAGCCCTCAAACAGTACTAATTAATGGTGCACCATGACATGTGAAAGATCTTCACCACCATTTTAGATCAACTGCACCGGATAAAGATGAAGGAAGTAGTGAATTGTCTGAGAATGATACTGGGACTCTGCTGTCTCTTAGAACAGAATCAGGAAATCCAGCTACAGACCCAGAAATGACTGTAATAGAATCATCAAATAATAACAATGATAGTGAAAAGACCAGGGACGAGAGAGATCATACAGGCACCTATATGGGAGGAATGTAGACAGAAGAGCTATCTCCACCCCTACGAAGAAGTGCTTGATGAAGCTGGTTACCATTGTCCTGCTACTTATGTGATAGTGATATCAGGGAGGAGTGTAGTGAGAGAATACACTTCGGGCAAAGCAGACATGTACCTGTTTGGTGTGTAAATCCAACATGGCTGATGTCATGTGTGGTCATGAGGAGTGGCCATTTGCAATCCCCCCCCCACTATGCTTGTGTGATGCTACCTTTTTGAATACAATTGGAGCGTTTTGAAGCGTGATTATTGGACAGTGCAGTTGATTTCTAGTGGTTTTATGTGCATTGGGATTTTTGACATTGGATCTATATTTTTTATCTGGATTTTGTGATTTGTTTGTTTTAAACTTAAGCTATCGCATTAACTTTATAACACAAAGCTTCGGACACTTAAAAATCCCAGAGAGAGAGAGAGAGAGAGAGTCAAAGAATTACTGCTATCAAGAAATACTTACACACATACATATACATTTTACAAGGACTCTCCTCTCTATTATAGACTAATGACTTAGAGACTATCAACAGGAGAACTTTCTAATATGAACTTATGAACTCTTTAAATATTGTATATTTTATTTTAAGAGATATAAATTTTTATCAGTACATGCAAAATATATCTTTGTACTAATTATCTTTGCATGCATTTTTAAAAGGCCATGAATTGGCATATATTTGATTAAGGGTGTTATCTGAAGATAACCACCTGTAAACAAGTAAACTCCTACTTTGATAACATTACAGACCTATAGACCTCTACAATATGCTGTAAAACAAAATAAACCATAAACTTAACACTACAACCCAAAGTGCACAAAAAAAGGACAGGCATTTATAGTTTATTTCAATAAATATGAATGTCCCTCAGCAGACAATTGTTATTTGTTTTGTTTTTTTTTTTAGAATGAACTTCACCTTTGAAAATTATATGATAAATACTAAAATTGGTATAAATTGTTAACCTGCAGCTATTATTACTTGAATGGAAAGGTCTTTAGTATGATACCAGTTTGCAATTCCATTCTTAAAAAAAAAAAAAAAAACAAACATTTTTCTGCAGGGTAATGTCTGCATCAAAGGGATGTTTCAAATTAAAGCTTGGTTATAATTGTGGAACAATGATAGGTCTCCTACTATGTCAGTCTGGTATTGTTCATTTATTGTTAGCTCTGAAAGTCTGTTGTCTGATAATTTAGCATTTATCATTGAATTTCCAACTGAATTTCATGAAGAAAATATTTTTTTTTTTTTTTTTTTTTTTTTTACAAATTTGAAAACCTTTCCATTTATTAATTTATTAATGTGTTTGATCTCTAAATAATATTACATAATTATTACAATGACTTGTAATGCAAATACAAATTAAAATGAATAATTAATAATAAAATTGATGATGTTATCTCACCATTTTTTATTATGAAGTGCTTTTAAAAGAAGCCCAATGGTTTTATGGGTGGTCTAACGGATTTGTTTATTTATTATTCTGACAGATTTTTATCACATTAAATGTTATTTCTAGTGGATGAGCAGATATTAACTTCCAAGGATCTGGAAGGAAAAGGACTGTACTTAAAGACAGTTTTTTATCTTGCTTCATTGGCTACACCCTTCATGTCAGAGTCAGAAGCATGTTAGATCATCTAACGACGGTTTTCCTGCAAAGAGGGACACAGGTTCAAATCCTGCTGAAGGGTGCATCTTTAAGATTTCTTAAATATTCAGGTTGGAAGACAAAAAAATAATTTAAAATAAACAGTATCTACACAAAAACAGGTATCCACTAAAAATAACATTTGAACCAATAAAATATATATAATAGAATGTGTGCGTCTAAATTTATTTGGAGTCAATGATTAGAATTTTTGTTTTATTTAGCTTATATAAATATGAAATCTATTAATAAATTCATTGACTTATCTGATGCTAACAAACGGCATATTTGTGAAACTTGAAGTTGGAAGATAATTCTTTTAAACTTAATACATCCATGCAGGAGACTTTCTCAGTCCTAAAAACCTTTACAACCAAGCACACTGTTTAACAAATTATCTATCACCAACCCAGATGTATTGATGCTCCTATGCAAATTACCTATCACCAACCCAGATGTATTGATGCTCCTATGCAAATTACCTATCAATTTTCTTTTCAAATATCACCTAGTACATATTGATTTATTTTTACCACCAATCTCTGATCCATTCTACCTGTATAATCAAAGTTACACTAAAATTTAAAATGGTAAATTACAGGAATATGGTGAGGAGTGTTGTAAATTAAATTATAACCTCCCCTTAGATCATTCCTATACCAGTCTGATACTATGCTGTATCGCAAAGAGACCCCTAATTATTCCCCCCTTTCGAATAAGCGAAAGACTCATGAAAAGACCTCCATGTTTGTTTGTAGATAACATGTATATTTGTTTGGTATCAAAACCTATACTATCAATCTTCTAGTCTTATGTTCATTTTAACTCACAGCAAGGAGGAATTTATTTTTGTCCTTTAGCAGATTAGTAGAATACAATGGACCAAGGTTTTAATAAAGCTTAACTTTTACTGCTTGCAATTGAAAGAGTTCCAACAGGTACCTAAACCAGTGAAGGTACATTTACAGTTCACTGAAGTATAAAATATTGTAGTGAAGAAAATGGCAAATTATCTTGTCAAACCAAAAGACAGTGTGCCGTGTGTATTCTACATTGGAAAAGAAAAAGGGTTTCTTGCTTCCCTGCCACCTATATTCTTTAAAAATTTAAATGCAATGTCAATTGCCATCTTTTGTCTTCCTGAATCCTGTTTTTTTTTGTTTTGTTTTTATTGTCCTTTCTCCTTGCTAAAGTCTTCTCTTGCATCTTAGTGGCATTACCACATTGCTTGGGATGAAATGATTAAAAAAAAAGAACACACATATACATATATATATATATATATATATATACACACACACACACTGGACATATGACCAATTTATTAAGGAATACACTGTCTTTGTGTTTCCTCTTTCATCCTTTATTTCTTGTCTAGACAGAGTCTAATTGTGACTGAAAGATGATGGGAAAGAATTTGGTATGCTTGACAGCACACAGAGTGACCTAAGAAAATGAATGAAAATTGGTTACCTAGGCTCATATGACAGACATCAATGCATGGGATTTTTGGTATTGTAATTTCAGTTTCCCGATAATCTGTGACAGATCCTGAGTAAATTGTCTAAGTGATCTCTTATGAGAGTTGTGCCCATGAATTTATTCCATTACTTGTTGTGTAAGGAATAAGGAAATACATATCCCTTACTACTACTTCTCTGAGCATCTTTCTTTATTATGTGCCCCAGAAATTTTAACTGTCTCTTTCTGATTCTAAGCAAAAACTAAAAGACCTCCTATATGATCAGCACCAATGATACAACAAAACCTTCAAATCTGTCATCTATGATTTTGTTTGGCCAATTAGTCTAATAATAAATAAAACATATACATTGGTTATACAACCACTAAAGAAAAAAAAATGATCATAGTTCTCCACAACTTCCTTTTCGTTAATATCTGTAAAATGTGCATTACCATGATCATTATTAGGAAAGTGTGGTTTATCATTGCTTCTTTCAGTTTTGATTACAGTGCTGTCATTCTAGACTAGCTGCAAACCAAAGCTAGAAGACCTAGTCTGCCCTGCTGTTTTACCAATAGCTTAGAAGACTCATGTCTTTCTTAAGAGCATCAGTGCAAAGTGAACATAAACTGTCCCAGCTAGAGTTTGTGGATTGCATTTTTGGTAGTGGAATATACTGAATTTTTTTTAGAGAGTAAAAAAAGCACAAGAAAAGAAAAAAAAAAGGAGGGCAAAAAAAAAAAAAAAAAGGAGGGCAAAAAAAAAAAAGAAAATCAAAAAAGAGAAAGGAAAGAAAAAAGTAAAGTAAAAAAAAGAGAAAAAGAAAAATATAAAAAATATGCCAGATAACTTGTGACTAAATGAAATGTTCTAAACAAAAATGCCTGACTAACAAACACATCAAGACACACGCATACACATCACTTTATACATAAAGTGTGTGTGTGTGTGTGTGTGTGTGTGTGTGTGTGTGTGGAGGGTGGGTAGTAACATCCCACCCATCCTCTGATGCTATCACATTTATATACTTCTACATAGATTATGGAATTACTGTTAACACTACTAACAACATTATTTTGTAGCTCGGTTTGGTCAGGTACAGATAAAAATGGCAAAGTGGGGAGTCTAGCCGAGGGGAGAGTCTATTTGTCTTGAAAACCCAGCATTTGAAATCTGGCTTCTGCTCACTAAACATAGGTTAGTCCAACACAGGGCTACAGTACTAGAACAAAACTCAGGAATACACTCCTTCGTGCTACAGGGTTAGGCTAAATGATAGAGGTGAGTAATATTCCAAGTGAAGAGAGCCTGCCTTGAAAATCAGCATTCAAAATGCTGGGTTTTCTGTATTTGATCTCAAACAACTCCCCAATTGAGGTCATGCAGAAGTCAAGCAAAGAAATTTCAAAATTAAAATCAAAACCAGTAATTTGGACAAAAATAACTATCATTTGTTATAGAGCCATGGAGACTTATTTAGACTTTAAACTGATATAAGCTTTCAAATTCATTGTAGATATTTTAACAAGACCTTATGAGTCAAGTCCTTCACAAGTGACCAATATTATTGACTATTTTAGTTCATTACAAAAAGAAAAGCAATTTTCAAATCTATTGACACAAGAGAAATATATATTTGAATTAAGACATCAACATTTAATTGATGTTAAACTGCAAAATAGTTGCAATAAAGTACTAGTAATCAGTCATATCTTTTCTAGTAATTCTAGAAATTCCAAACGTTTCAAAAACAAAAGTTTATCCAGGCTTTGTGTATGTTGAAAAATAATTCTCCCAAAAACAAAAAAAAATCCATTATATATATATATATATATATATATATATATATATATATATATATATATATATATATATATATATATGTATGTGTGTGTCTGAAAAGTAACAGGACTGGGTGTGTTGTGCGAGCTCAGGGTGAAAGAGGTACAAGCAGATTGTGTTATCATCTGACAGGATATCTTGGGAGTATATAACTAATCTTAGCTTTCTGCAACCATTGCATTTCTTTATTTGTTTTTGTGGTGGTTTCATGGCAATACATACAACCCTCCCAGGTCGATAAAAAAAAAAAAAAAAAAAAAAAAAAAAAAAAAAAAAAAAAAACTCCTCACTGTACTGGAACAACCTCTTTCCTATTCACCTGAACTTGCTTTGTGTGATTTTTTTTCTTCTCCCCAAATTCAAGGGGATCATCAAGGGCAACAATTTTGAAGGCATGGACGCCATCAAGAGGACCATGATGACAGAGCTGAAGGATATCCAGTATGAATCCTTTCAGCAGTGGCAGAGAAGGATGGAAAAGTGCATTAGACTTGAGGGCAATTAATTTGAAAAGGCAAACTATGTAGTGTGTTGTTTGGAATTAAAACAAATTCTTTGTGACACCTATCCTGTTACTTTTCAGACAGACATATATAAGGTATATTCCTGAAAAAAACTTGAGAAATAGTGAAATACTGAATTATGAAATGCAATAGTTACTGTAAGAAGGGGGGAGGAAGGTAAGCTTCTAGTTTATTAATGTTTACATCATCCAACTCATACATCAGTTACCTGCTTAATAATGAGATGAATATAAAACTAACCTCCAGCCCACAAAAATGGTAGTAGAGAGTAGAGGTTTACAGTTAAAGTTGCTATAAATTAGAGACTATGTTTTGAAAATGCTGCCATCTTGGTTTGAAGATAAGCTCCTTAGCTTATCTTCAGGATCATAAAAAAAAAAGAAAAAAAAAAAAGAAAATGTCATCCATGAGGCTGATGACTTTCTAGATGGTATTGAAATTTTGGATGGTTTCAAATAGATATGAGTATAATTTAACAATGGCCATGTCAATCAAAGGGAGGCAAATTCGAGTTACTTCAATATTGATCTTACAGAAGAAGCATAAAAAATAAATTAGTAAATTATGCTTAAAGTAAGCATAAAAAAATTAGTTTAAAAAATTATTCTATGAATTAATTTTAGAAAACCCAATTGAGTAATATAATACTGAAAGATAATCATAACTGAATTTTAAGCAGAATTAAAAAACTTAACAGAATTTTAATCTGACAACAAAAGCAAATTGATTAACCTGTGTTCTATTTATTTTAGTAGAAAAATTTTTTGAGCGGGGTTATTTGCTTAAGAGACAAAAAAAAAAAACGAGTTGGAAATCTTGTTTTAAGCTTTTAAAAAAGAAAAAAATAATAATGTATGTTAATTACTTATCAAAGAATGCAAATCCCACAAAAAAAAAAAAAAAAAAAAAAGTTCTTTTTCTTAAGTCAGATTTCATAAATAGAAAACTCATTTTTCCAGAAAGTGAGACATGTCAAATTTTGTGCACTTAGCAAATAAAGGAGCCCTATTTCTTTTTAAAAAAAAAAAGAAAAAAAAAAAAAAGAAAAAGTAATAAATAAACTTTCATTTTATGAAATCTCTCAATGACAAAGGACAGTTTTTTTTTCCATTTTTCTGGGTATCTGAAAATAAGGAGGAGTGGGGGTTCCCCACTGCCCACCCAAGTAAATCACAGACTTTTAATTAAACTTGCTTTCACTATCACTGTTGCAACAGTAGAAAACATACTTAGGCATGGAGCAACATAACAAAAAAGATTAAACTCAACTTTCATCAATACAAACATTTCAGAATATCAATGTAAAACTATAAAAAGGTCAAATTCCAGTTTACACAAACAACAGATATAACCTCCTTTAAACTGTTCAATTAAACATACCTTATAATATTCCAGATCCTTGAGAAACTTGGCACAAGGTATAATTTTATTGCAAGTGCACTATTTCAGTGACTGAGGAAATAGATTTTTAATAAATTACCATTTTTATAACAAAAAATATGGGTCAAAAGTTTAGGATTGTTTTTGTTTTTATGGAATAAATATATGAAATGATAGATTTGTAATCAATTCTTTAAGAGTTTATTTAAAGCTGAAACATGTTTAAAATTATCGCAGGTTGCTTACAGTCTGAACAACATCTTACAAATGTCTGAAACAAAATTATATTCAGTGCTATATGTATAGAAGGATTTGGAATATATAGTACACATAATTCAGTACCTTTAACTTGGTTATACAGGGTATAGCAGAAATACCTCCCACATAATAGTAAGGCATTAGTGGCAATGGGGTCTTCATCAAGGTATATGTGGGAAATATTTCTACCACACCATGTATATGCTGCAGTAATAAAGGAAAAAAAATAATCTTTTTTTTCTTTTTTAAGAGAACTAAAAAGTAAGAGTAAACAAGCTATTCAAAATCATTTTTTGCATTTAAAAAAAAAAAAAAAAAGAAAAAAAAAAAACACAGAACAAAAAGGAAATGAATAAATAAAAAGAAAAAAATTACATCAGAATACATTTTCCCATTTTCTTTCTCCGTTTTCTCACGTGGGGCGGAATGATGTTTAGACCATCAGCAGTCTCACTGGTGACTGATAATGTGTCTTTATCTTCTCCAGTCTCATTAGAAACTAAATTCTGGTCATCAGAACTTGATGCTAAGCCTTCAGTGGCCTCTTCAGCAAGTTCCAAATCCCCCTGCAGAACACAGGATGGAGATGAAATCTGGTTGTGCTTGGCCAAATCTTCGACCTCACTAGAGACACCAGATACATTGATATCACTAGTAACATTTTGAAAAGTGGTTGGCGTTTCAGGAGTTACATTCCCTGTAATATCAGAAATAGTTGTTCTACTAGGTGAATCTTCTGTCAAACTGATCCAATCAGAAATTATGCTGATGTCTTCAGTCATATTTATGAGAGCTGATTTATCCATTTCTGCTTGTGTGATGATCACTGTTGGTATATGACCGATATGAGAAGAATTAGTTTGCAAGGGAACTTCACCCGAAAACTTTCCATGATTAATCACATCTGATTTGTCTATTTTTTCAGTGACTTTTGATGACGCGTTCTTTTCTTGATCCTCGGATGCAAGTTTGTCACCAGTGAACACATTCTCAGGCAAATTTATTGATGCTGAAGAATTGTTATCAATTTGAGCCTCTTCTTCCAAAATAGTTGTCAAAACTTGGGCTTCAGAATTATCAGTTTCTGCTTTCTCCTGGGAAATGGACAATTCTGGAGGGGCATTCTCATTCTTCTGACCTGATATATATATGAACATTTCTGACTTATAAGGATACATGACTTTGTTTAAAGATTGCTGAGTGTCACCACATTTCAATCCTAGTTCTGTTTCACTGAAAACCTTGTGACCATCTTCCAAAATTAGATCTTCAGTATTCTTGAAATTGATTGGTTCAAGATTCTGTCTGGTTGCAGGTTCAGCAGGAGTCTCATTTAAAGAATCTTCTTCCTTTTCTTCATTAACCTTAACCATTGGAGCACTGCTGTCATCGTCTGGAGTTATGTCTGTGCCGAAATCTATCTTGTGCTCAACATGATAATAGCCAGAGATGTCTTTTGCCTTGAGCATAGAACAAAGTTGTAAGCAATGGACTTTCTGCGTACCAAAATAGGTATCTACAAACTCTTCGTAGATGTCAGGGTAGATTTTTTTCAACCCAGTCTTTTTAGTAAGCTTTTTACCGACACGCGACAGTTTCAGTACCGTCACGTGAGGGGTAAAATCGCGCTTATCATCAACGAGTCCTTCCTCACAAAACTTCTTCTGTACCACATCAGCAATTTCTTCCAGCTTGGCAACGTGCTCCCCGGGATGGACTTTGGCAAAGACGACAGAGTGTCTGAAGTTTCCCAGGCCTTGCAAAGGAAGCTCCAACAACTCATCTGTGTATTTTGGTCTCAGTTCATCACCGCAGCGGTTCAATGCTGATTTTGCACACGCCATGTCCTCCTCGTTTTCCAGTCTCATCACTGCCAGAGTCATGTGCAGACTGTGCAAAGGAACCACTGCGAGGGAGTAGTTGCCATTTTTTTTCATGACTGACTTGTGCACCTCTTTCAAACTGCGATAGATTTCTGGATCCGAAAACTGGATAGAAATAAAATAGTTCGGTATCCGCTTCGCGGGTTTCTCGATTTTCAGTTTATTTCTAGTTTCATCGTCGCTGTAAATAGTGCATATCGAAGTGTCGGAATTAGTGCACAGAATTTTGTCCTCGCCGTCTACAGACACTTCGACCTTTACGGCAAGTTGCGATGAATTCGAATCTATATCTGAAGTGTTAGAATCTATGGCATTTACAAATCTAGACGAGGAGTCAAAGCTGTTTGCAGACAGGGGAGAAAGTTGAGAAAGAAAATTGTTACTGCTTGTCAAATCATTTGAACCAATCTCCGATTTCGAAACCGTTCCATCACGGACTTTTTTTGTAACAGACAGCAAAAGAGATTGGGGAAGGATCTTGCTTTTTCTACAGTTTTGGTCATCTTGAGGGAGAGAGGAACACGTGGAAAGATTTGTTGATAAAGGAGACGAGAAAGGAGTGTTTACGTGAAGGCCCGTAATGACATCACTAGTCGAAGATATCAGTGAGGTGGAAATGTCTTCTTTAGATGAAATGGGATTTAAAGAGGAAAAACTCGTGTCTGCATCACTTGACCACTCCATCTGTATATACGAGCGAGCAATTAAAGCAAATCCAGTTTGTGAGTCCAGAAAAATTCGTGACGAAACTAGTCGAGAGGTTCTCCAAAGTTTATACAGAAAATGGGTCATGTTGGTTGACTATAGTACGCATGCGCGCATTTTGAAAAAAATTATCTCCTAAAAAATAGCTACTTTGGTGATCAGGTTAAAAAAAAAACACTGCTTAATATTTGCATTTAAATTAGTCAGTAATATGTTGATACTTTTTTCTTTTTTTTATTTATTTTGGATAGACTATTATCAATAAATGTAACAAAGCTTTTTTGTGTTTCAACCGAAGAAATTAATTCTTATATAGCTGAAATCCGGACAATGTTTAGTGTTGCTACACATAAAATTCCGACACCGGCATATTTTAATGTTTTGGATTTTTAAACGTGTAGTATACAAAAAAATTGTAAAAAGAAAAAAAAAAAACAATGCAAGAATATCGTTTTAACTTTATTCACTCAGTATTTTGAAATATATTATAAAATTATTAATTGGAATTCATCCAATTATTTTTATTTATTTATTTAAAAGATGAAAAGTAAAAAAACAATACTGACAAATGAAAAGAAAAGTTAAAACACATCTGCTGAATATGCACTTATAAAAAACAAATCATTGCTGTACTATAGAAATTTATAAAGAAAGAATTTAAAAACATTCTGTGAAAATAATGAAGTTGCTGAAGAATGAAGAAGAAGACTGTCTCCTCGATTTTTTTAAGATTTTTTATTCAATAAAAATAAAAAGAATATCAGTTATAGTTTTTTTGTAATAAAAGAAGTTTTCGTGTGCGAAAATTCATTTTTTTTTTTCATGCCTTCTTAGAAAATTTGGTGGAGTGGTTTTTTGTTGCCTTCTCGACGTTTTGAAATTCATTTTTCCTTCTCTAAGATTGGTTGCCACTCAGGACGAGAGAGTCCAGTCCAGTCTACTCTGCTATTTTTAATCTATTTTTCAGCCCATGGCAATTCACAGATAATGATAAAAAAAAAAAGGGGTAGAAAAAGATCACGTCACCTATGTCCTGAAAAGACATGGCGTATTTAAAAAAAAAAAAAAATGCAGTATTACGTGCACAGAAAATATCAAGAATTTAGAAAGGAAATTTGACTCATCAGCCGGGGTAATTTGAATAGTTCAAGCCCCCAAGGATGGCGGGGGACATCTTTCAGGCAGTATCTCTCCTTCGGGAGAGGGCTGTAGTCATTACCCAGCGACTGAGCTGTTTCCAAAAGTGGAAGTGCAGAGGAGGTTTGAGAAATCTTTCTACACTTTTGCCGAAAGTTCACATTTTGTCGCCATGTGGGCACGCGGTTAAATAAATATTCATATTCATCAACCGGGGTAGTTTAAAATTAATATTTTTTTTTAGCTTGGGGAGGGGAAGAGCGTATCTCCAGTACATCTTCTCGGGACGGGGAAGGAGTCATTAACCGAAATGAGACGTTAAAAAGGGAAATGCTGAGAGGGAGGCATGAGCAATTTTTGAACGGCTTCCCTCGAACTTGTGTCACCTTCTGTAACGACGTGAGCGTGCTGATTAATTACCTACTCATCTGATCAAACCAGAATCTCATCGGGATTCAAAGTAGTAACATCATTCTAAAAACAGGGAATGGCTAGGGTTTTAATCTCCGTCGCTTAAAAAAGCGTTTCCAAATTGGAAATGCCAAGGGAAGAAGGCTAGAACAATAATCCCGCGTCCTATGTATGCGTAGGACCCCTACTTTTAACTCGACTTTGTATTAATTAATTGTTATTTAATTTTCACGATCGCGAGTACAATAAACTTTGAACTTTAGTACTTATTTATTTACGTAACGGTTCCAACGCGTTTCGTCCTTCAAAAGGACTTCTTCAGACTAAAAAATCATGTTTTGATGGATGATTGGATGAGGGAACGAAAACAAACGTTGAATGAAACGCTGAAAATGCAGGGACGCTTAACTTTAAATTTTTTTTTTTTAATTTTTATTTTCGTTCATTAACTGACATTCCATCAATAAAAACAGTTTTTTTTTTTCAAGAATTTTTTCGTATTGTAATTCAATTCCCGACCGTTTTTTAGTCTGAGAATTTAAATTTATCATATCCACCTAGTTTAAAATTTTAGTGATTTATAAATTTAGAATTCTGTCAACAAATATTTAAAAAATATTATTACTTAATTTATTAAATTAAATGTTTTAAAAATATTAAATAAATTACGTTATTATTATTTTATTTTTTAATTGTATGCACTTATTACTTATTTTCTTTCACTTTTTTTCCTGCGAAGCGTATGGCTTTTTTTTCCCTACCCGAGCAAACCATTTTTTTCTGACTTCATTTTCCTAAAACCGCTTTTTCATGTAGCAGAGATTAAGAAGTTGGTTTCACAGATTTTCCCTCATAAGGACTCAATTCCTGTTGATTTGAAAATTCTCAGTCATTTTTGCTTTCATAGGTTTTCTTTTCTCCTATAAATTTAAAAATAATTTCTATTGATTTTTCCCCTAGCTTAGCTATTCACTTGTGGTAAATGGAACTTTATGCAAGTTATAGCATTGTATTAAAAATTTACAAGTGGAGAAAATGCCTATTTGCTTCCCCAAACTAAAAGTAACACTAGAATATTGTCTTCGAGATCCTATTGGAATTTCCTAAACAATTTCCGCATACCAAACACTGAATTATCTCCCTTAAATTTATTTACCTAACTTCATATTCTGAGACAGTTATGGATTCGAACTGAAGCCATGCATCCGAAATAAATCGAAAAATAGCGTTTGAAATGTAATATTTATTTAAACGATATCATAAATAATTAATCCCCGTTTTTATAAAAATCACACATATACTCAGGTATAAGCCGACTTCATAGTACAACCCTTGGATTTTTTTCCGTAGATTTTAAAATTAGTTTTAACCCCTGAAAAAAATTATCTGATAAGTGATAATTACAACCAGTCACCCCCACAAAGAAAAAAAAAATGGATGATTTTTATTTTTTTAACCTCTTCAAAAAATGACCTTATGTACAAGTGCGACTCCTCTTTGTCTAAAAAAACTGAAAAACTTACACTACTCAACTCGAGTACGATATGTTTAACAGAACTTTATTCCACAGTGGCTTTTCCTAAGTGTTGTTAATTTCCAAATTTTCTAAAGTCTAAGAATATGAGGTTAAGCAAAGAAAGCTAAGGGGAGGTAAAAAAGGGAATTAAATTAATATGTAGAATTGTTGAGAGCGTAAAAAAAAAAATCAATAATCTGATTTGCAATGATAGTGTAAAATTTTGACACTATCATTGCAAATCAGATTATTGATTTTAGCGAACTGTTTTTCTTTTTACAGTAAAAAGAAAATCAACAGTTCGCTAAAATTTACAATTTACATTCTAATTAATTATTAAAATGCAGCTGCTACCCGTGACACTTAGTCTTTTTAACCCTTATGGAAGTTTTTTTTTTTTTTATTTAATCGATAAAAATAAAATGCTAAAAATGTTTCACGTTTTTCAATTTCAGAAAAATAAAATGTTTCAGACTTTCTTTAAAACAAGTTTTATTGTGGGGGGGGGACATCGAAAAACAAACGTGAAATAACATTTTTAAATAAATTATGTGATGTTGATCATAATGGCTGCCTGGCAGTAGTAATATTAATAATGATAATTATTGTTATGTTGATGCTATTTGATAATCCTTCATCCTTCGAAACTCCCTATGTTGGTCAGAAGAACTCCATTGCCAATCCCTTTCCACACTGTTTGAGCTATGGTGTTTGGGAAAGTCAATTTTCGTGAGAAGACTCTTATCTTATGGCATGCTCGGTGGCAGTGGCCGGGAAACGGGAATCGTTTTTGTTTGAGCTTAAGAGATTTGGTCTCAGTTCTCCGTAAATTGTGTTTAATTTTAAAAAGTTAAATAAAAACGTTGCATGGGCTCTACAACTGGTGTTCTGTATTTTTCTAAGCAGATTTGTAAATGTTCCATCCAGTCGTCTTTCAAGACGAACAGATAATATCCAAGTTTCTGATCTATACAGTAGGCTGTAGGACTACTAGTTTAAATCAATGTTCGAAAGGTTTGGACTTTTAAGGAGGATGGAAGATTCAAGCGCCAAATCTTGTGAAGTTTGTTTACACGCATCCGATACAATGAGCTTTGCGGATGTTGAAATCTTTTTTAGGAATCTATGTGAGCGAGATCCAACATAATTTGAAGTCCTCAACTCTTTTGATATCTTTTACCAAGTCTTTGAACTGAGACCTGGAATACAGGAAAATATTTCTTAGAAAGTCTTTGAATATATGATATATTTAGAGAGTATTTCTGAGTAGGTGCGCAGTGTTCATAGACATAATCTTCTGTATCTCAGATAGGGAGTGGGGGGGGGGACAACAATTTGTTAATGAATATTCATGACGTTCATTAGTCAACCAGAGTTACGTCCCTTGTTAAGTTTTTCCGTTGGTGAACAAAGAGAGTGAAGGGGTGTAAAATTGACCAATCACGAAACAGTATTTAACGCACGAATTTCAAACCGTTTCGTTGACCAACTTATTTTTAATTCAAAGAAAAAGGCCAGATCACGCCGTTTATACAACCATTGTTCTGTCTCAAGCGAAGTATATTTTCTAAATATTTTTTCATTTTTAAAGTCAATTTTAAACAGAAATGGCCACACGACGAATGACAAGAACTTCAAGTAATGCAGGACTTTCCCTCAGGTCAGGCAGGAACCAAAATACAACAAAAGTAAGTTTTTAAATTGTTACTTCGACATTTTGCGTAAATAAAAAAATCTAATACTTTCTCTCTTCTGGTTGAACCTTTAAGAAGTATATCTTATTTATTTTTTTAATAATTAACGAAACCTCGATTAATTTATTTTAATGAGGGGTTTTATATATATATATATATAATCACAGGAATTACTTATAACTTATGGAAAATGTAAGTTAGATGTCTGAAGGAAAGATTTGAAATTAATTTTTAAAATCCTGATTAAAATAGTTTAATTTCTCCTTAAGAACTTTTTATTTATTTTTCAAATTCTCTTTCTAAATCTAAAAATTAATATCAGTCACAGACAATAGAATTGATTCGTGTGTATATTTAAAAAAAGAAAAAGGGGATGAATCTTTTTCGTAATTTGATTTTCCAGATTAAAATTTTTTTTTTCTTCATGTAAAAAGTGTCCTTTTGGTCACATTGTTTCTATTTTAATTAAATAATTTTCTCTTCCCTCCAGGTATGTGGTGTAACTAAATTTATAAATCCTCCAGTTAAAAGAACAAGATCTAAAACTGACATTAATCCAGAACCTCAACAGAAAAGAAGAGCAGTTTTTGGGGACATAACAAACGTAAGTTTGCTTTTCTTTTCTTTATTTTCAGGCACCGTTATTAATATTTTGTTTATCTAACAAAAAAACCATAATCGAACGGTCACTACATTTCTATTTTTAATTTAAATTAATTTTCCCTTGAGTGAGACAAACTAAGGATTCTTGATTTTCAAGTATTAATACATTTTTTTTTTTTTTTTTTTTAAGTAGTGTTAATTTGGAATTTTAAATTTTCAACAATCATTAACATTTAAATTGTAAATTAATGCTAAAAAACCTTAAGATCGCTTGAATCTTTTTGAATTACTGTCAAATTCAAAGATTTAAATAAACTAGAAAAAATAAAATTTTTGCCCCCCCCCTTCATGTCAGTACTTAATGACATTGAATGTGGATTATTTAATAAACTTGACTGAAGACATATTTTATAGAACTTGTATTCTCAACTTTCTTCTTCCAGAAAAACAAGGAAGCTACCAAGCCTCTAAAAAAATTGTCAAAAGAAACAAAACCCACTTCTACTCTGACAAAGAATGCTAAAGTGACCCGATCTACCAGCAAACCTAAAACTACTGCATCAGCTGTTTGTGCCCCTGTCTCCACCAACACTGTTTCAGCACCTGTCCAAGATGAACCTCTCATCATTGAATTAACACAGGCTTTGGATTTGACTGAAAAAAACAAATCACCACCTAAAGAGTAAGTAATTTTTTTTTTCTTTTAAACTCTTCCTGATAGTCTTGACTCTTGTTTCTTAATCCTGAACAAGAATAAAGACAAATACCTCCACAAAACTTATGGTTTAAAGATAAATTTTAAAAAAATGATAGCTTATTTTAGTTCTAATTTCAAGCTAATTTTCAATAAGCAAAATAGTATTTTCAAATTGGTTGGAAGGAATTTTTTTTTTGTAGCTGATTGGCACGACTTTTCATCGCAATGTAATTTTAACTCTTCCAAAAATAAAATACTTTCCTGAAATATTTGAAGATTTTACTGAATTAAAGTTTAATTAATCTGATTTGAAACAAATTTTTTTTTTTTTTTTTTTTTTTTAGCTTAAAATATTGCGGAAAGACATTTGTTTTAAAACACTCCAGTAGCTGTTTAAGATGTTAACAGAAGTCTAAATGTTTTTCTAGTGGATAATTAGTACTCTTAATTTTCCGATTGTTGTACACGAACATCCATATCTACAAAACATTCAAAATTCTTAATATATTTGTAGTAAACTTTTCCATTCATGATCAA